GAACATAACTGATTAGAAATTATAGTAAAAACAGAAACGATTGAATGTAAATCAGTTTATATACATTTATATTACATTAATATATGCGTTGCGACCCATTTGAGTCAATTTTTAGGTCCCAAATAAGGTCCCAAATATTAACGAGTTATATAGCTCCTTTAAATTCCGGATTATCGAACTATAATATAAAAAGTAATAATAGAGCTTGCGTTACATTTCTTTTTACAGTATTGCAACTATTGTCTAGGAGTGTTCTCCGTAATCGAACTCTAGTATGGAAAAGTAGACCAGTTTGACTACTTGATATGATCGTGTTTGGTATATTATCATGTAAATAATAATATGTACATTGTGTACATCGTAGTGCGACCACCTGTTTACGCGATTGTTCGATTATTAATAATAACTTACATGTATTATACATGGAATACATAAAGTGTGGGCACTCATAGCGGGGGTGAAAAAGTGTTGGATCATTCTGAGAAATAAAAACGAAGTAAACAAACGGATTTTGCGAATTGTGATTGTCACTATTCAATAAAATATGAACTTCAATTGCATTTAAATCACAATTTTTTAATCTTCGAAGTAAGAGTGCTTTTGAAAACAGCTTTCATAATGTTCCTTTGGGGGCTTGGGTGGCCATTCGCCTGGATTTTGTGGCCATAAACCGGTCATCGTGCACAGGAATATCACGCAGGCTACTTTAAGTCTGTTTGACAGAGGATGGGCCCCCCCTCCCCCGGCCACCTTTTGGCGACTCTACTGTAAAAAGGAGGAAACACTAAAATTAAGCAGAGGTTAGGTAAAGTAGGCCAGAAAAACTAGTGTTACGATAACTGTGACGTGTTAGAAGACACGGACAAGCTATCTTTATCAGCTGTTTCAGTCCAGCGACTGTTCTTCCAAGATGTTTGAGTTTGCCCTTTAAATGAAATATATGTCATGAATTTTGGAAAAAATAATGTAGAGCACGTAGGATATCAAGTATTAAATAAACATTATTCATAAAAATATGTTGATTTTTTTTCTTTCAATGAACATATTAAAATAAACATTGTTCACACAAATATGTTTGTTCTGTCTTTCAATGAACATATTAAAATAAACATTGTTCACACAAATGTTTGTTCTGTCTTTCAATGAACATATTAAAATAAACATTGTTCACACAAATATGTTTGTTCTGTCTTTCAATGAATATATTAAGAAGCCGAGCTTTACATGCAGCACTTCAACGACCTTCACCACAAATTCTACTAACGAAATGAAATGAAATGGAGTTTAACGTCCTACTGTTCTGCTCCTAACCTGGGCTAATGAAGACGGACATACGCCATACAGTGTACTATGAGGGAAATTTTGCCCGGACAGCGGCACTACGGCCTACTCTTATATCGAATTCCAACTGCCAAGGGATCTTTTACGTGCACGCCAATGTGTACACGGGACCTCGGTTTTTCGTCCCATCCGAACGACTAGACAGCTTTCCTTGTCAGCCCCTACGTCCTGCATCACTGACAAGGGAGAACCACGCCGGAAAATCTGGATGAACTTTCTCGGCCAATGCAGGGATCGAACACCCAAATTCTACTAACACAAAAAGTTTAAAGAAAACTAGGGATCACGGTGGCTAAGTAGGTAAGACGCTAGTTCGCTAGCCTGGCGGTCGGGTGTTCGATCCCTGCATTGGCCGATAAAGTTCATCCAGATTTTCCGGCGTCGTCTCCCCCCCCCCTTGTCAATGATGCAGGAGGAAAGACCTGACAAGGTCAGCTGTCTAGTCGCTCGGATGGGACGAAAAACCGAGGTCATTAGCCTAGTTCGGAGGGGAACAGTAGGACGTTAGACCCCATTTCATTTCATTAAAGAAAACTAATCTTTATTCGTCTTGAATCTTTACGAGAGCATATGTTCTTATTCTTCATTATTAAAAGTAAATGAAATTGATATTGTTAAAGACGATTGACATACGAGTCGTGCATACAAAAGCGTTTCAGGACGAATGCATCTGGGCGGCTTCCACCACTGTCCCACTTTTCAAAAGCTAGACCGATATTTAAACTTTGTTTGAGCGCTGCAATTAATTAAGTTTTAAAAAGACTAGGCCTACTCTCGTGTAACAATTTGGACACTTCTGCTTAAGATAAGATACTATTTTACTCTATCAATACCTCCATTAAGAGCAGGATACATGTTTCTAAAACGAATGGAAATAGTGCAAAATAAAGAACAGTTGCCGCCCCACTCCCCGGACCTGAATCTCCGAAAGGATTAATGAAGGATGCACAAATCAACTTAAGGAAAATGAATAACTTAATAGTGCAGTTGTCCAACATTCAATTCCTAGATTAGTACAGTCGGTGTAGAAAAGTAAGACGTTAAACATAGTTTCATTTCATTTTTGTCCAGCATCCATATTGTTAATGATGTAGGTACCATATTTATAGAATTATTCCACTTTAAATAGGGTATTTATATTTTCTGGGTCACCCGATATATAATTGTTTCTAATATATAAGAAATATAAATTAAAGGGGACCATATTGTCAGTAAGACAATGAAACATAAATTACACCCATATAATAAGGTAACGAAACATATCCACTACAAATAAAAGATGTGACATGTGAAAGCAGTACACCTCAAAGATTGTCACATTTCCTTCTACTCAGTGATAAGACGTCCTACCGTTCTGCACCGAGTGGCCTAATGAAGACGGATATACGCCGTCTGGTGTGCTATGAGAAAAATTTGGCCCGGACAGTGGCACTTCAGCCTACTCTTATTTCGAATTTCAACTGTTACGGGTTCTTTTACGCGCACGCCAATGTGTACACGGGGCCTCGGTTTTTTTAACCATCCGAACGACTATACGTTGTCCCTTGCCATACCGCCCACCCTTCACCACTGAAATAGGGGAACCATGCCGGAAAATTAAGATGATCTTTCTCGGCCAACATCAGGATCGGACAAGGACTCCCAGGTTAGTGAGCAAACGTCTTACTCACTGAGCCACGGCGAATCATTGATGACAAGTGAGGACATATATGTAAATAATTTTATTACTTGCGTTAACCGAATTAACCCTTAAAGGGCGTATAACTCTATTCTTTGGATCTTAAAATAGACAAAAATGGGCCGAAAAGCTTATAGTTATTGTAACATGAATGTATATAACTTTTTTTTACATTTTTAAAAATCGTAATGTAATTTCTAATCAGTTATATTCAAAGAATTACGCTAGCAATCCAAAGTGAATGATCAATCCAGGGGTTATTGTATCTACTTTTCTTTTTGTCCTTTGTGGATCTGTCGTTTCTAATAGGGTTAGATCTATTTGATAATGCCAACTTCAAGTTTGGTCAATGGTCACGAGATATGAACAGGCCGGTTAGCGCTAATCTCAACCCTAACCCTGGACCTAGCCCCAATGCTTACTCTAACCCTAACCTACAATCTCGCCAACAATCATGTGTCCTAATCTTATTTATATTTCAGCGACCTTGGCGAAAATTGAGTTGGCCTTAACAAACAGATTTAGCCTTCTACATGTAATAGCGTGCGCATTGACTTGCGGGATATGTTTTGATTTTGTTCATCAAGTCTTCTTATTACAAATGACCATACAGAACCCGATGTTGGGAACTGATTCTAAATGTTCATTACGTCTTATATTGGATATCAAGAGATTTAGCCTTCTACATGTAATAGCGTGCGCATTGACTTGCGGGATATGTTTTGATTTTGTTCATCAAGTCTTCTTATTACAAATGACCATACAGAACCCGATGTTGGGAACTGATTCTAAATGTTCATTACGTCTTATATTGGATATCAAGAGCCCATATTTTCACGTCAAGTTAAAAACATCAATATTAATTTAAATGGACCAATATTGAATTTTTATTCTAGTTCAGTCCCCCGAAACAGACATTAAATTTGCCTTAAAAACCCTTTAAGATTTTTTTATTCAAAACAACAGAGCTCAACCCGTGGACTTTACTTAATTTCTCCTACGCACGAATGAAGTGTTATTCCAATTTGGGCTAGTCGTACTGAGTAGTCGTTAAACCTCCGTTCTGTCCAAAACTAGCTGGTGTCCAATTAAAAAAAACTGTTCGCCCCCTCGAAATTGTGTGTTTTACTGTCTAATCAGTGAATAACTGTTTGTTATTCTTTACGATTTATCAGGAATGGTGCTGCGGAACTAACAAAGGAAAGTGCTGTCCGGTCGTTTAGATCTCACTAATGTCTGCGGCCCAACTTTGGACACGTTCGCGTACACGTAAAAGTATTCTTATAGAACTGAGCATTAAATGATGGCGTCAAGTATCAATCCTGTTACCTAAACGCGAGAGAGAGAGAGAGAGAGAAAAAAAAATGGGGTTTAACGTCAACTCTACACAAACTAGGTCATTTCGGGACTTACATATGATTCAATTTTATTTCAATAATTCGTTTACGCGTAGGGGTCTTTAGCAGTGGGGGGGGGACTGGAAGACCCGGAGAAAACCCACGAGGTTGGACAGGCGACCCTATTACTTGTCACGTACAACCGGGGAATCGAAACCACGCCAGCTGACTCAATGACAGTCCTTATGGTACAGCGCGCCCGTGCTAACCATTCGGCCATCCAACACCCCGTTACCTAAACGCGTAATAATTCGTACTGCAAGTTGTACATGGTGAGAACTACATGTATTTACAAGATAAGGTATGAATATTTTAAAGCGCGACCAATTGGAGTGCTTCTTTAAGAGATGTTCTCTGGTCATCATTTTATACACTTGTCATTATTATGTCACTCAAATTAGCTTAAATAAAGTGCATCAAAATTTTATGAACTTAACATATTTTATACGACCTTATACGGCCTTGGTAAACGTGGTGGAATTGTAAAGACGCCTTCACCATAAGCTTGACTCAAAATGACCTAGATAGTGAATTACAAGCTTCATACTTCAGTCATATCACTCAGTCGTTGACAGACACTTTAATAGCCAAGATGCGTTTTGATAGTATTTTACGTCATATCGGCGAATTTGGGCCGTACCAGAAAAGAATCTATTTCTTGGTCTGTCTTCCTGGAATTACCCATGGAATTCGAATGATGATAACAGCTTTCATGCAATTTGTTCCCGAACATAGGTATACATATATTATTACTTTCTTTTTATGTTATCATCGTGGGCATATTGTGTGAATTTATCATTGGATATATTATTCGTATCAGTATTATTGATCTTGGGGCATTTAAGTGTATTGTTTATTAAAATACTATTAAACAATGTATAATATATTTATATTTTACCTTATCAATATGATGATTTTTTAAAGACCAAAACAGATCTTAATCTTTATTTTGCGTATTTTGTTATCTTGGTAACCTTCCTGTACATATTCAGGAAAGGGTGCTTTTGTACATGTAATTGGTTAGGAAAAGGTTATTTTGTATGTTTTCCAATTCTTTACCATTTTCTTAAACCACTAAAATATAAATAATTTATTATTATGAGTAAATCACACGTTGGATCTCTTCACAATGCATGGTTTAAACTTAATATAGCCAAATCTTGATTCATTCGCGATCAAACGCGAATCTAATATATCAAAATTCACTGTTTAAACTTTTCCTATTAAAATAGGTTTCTTTTTTATTAGTATCCCTGGATATGTACCTACTGATTGCTATAGCTTTTATCACGTTATCTATACTCCTGATGACTTCATATCTTTGAAGGCAAACACAATAAACCAGAACAAGGTCATTGTCTGATATTACCGTCATCATCTCCTGTCCTCCGAACCTTTATCGCGTAAATTATATACAATGTTTTATTTGTCCGTTCTCTAGAAAATAATGTGCTTTTTTTCGAAGCTGTGGTGAAATAATTCCATAATTCTTTCTGAATATGATTAAACAATCAAATATATCTAGATGTAACAGAATGAAGAGTCAATGTCCAGGTCGCACCTTTGTATTATCAAACGCAAAACACACTCCGTTTGTCCAATATCAAGAAATTATTTCATCACCACGTTATATTTCCTCAGTCCCTCAAATGACGTTCATAGGCTTTAAATAATAACGATATGGTGATTAAAAATCTTTTAAATGACAATCATCGACACTAATACATAGTAGTCGATGGCTGAGCAGAACGATGTAGTTTATAGTATTGGATTCAATTTTTTGAAACGAAATTCCAATCGTTTAAAGTTCGCCTCATCACTAGTAACACTTTTATAAATTCACTTGTGTGCTTTACAGTAGCCTAAATAAAGGTCGTTAACCCCATTTAGGTAAATGATTCATATTTGTCTCGAAACATATTATGGTTTAAATCAATCTATAAAAGAATTTTGCCAGGAAAGTGGCATTTATTGGCTATGTCTATTTGTAGGTCCATATTAGACATTCAGTATTGTCAAGCTTAATGAAGACTTTGGCCCTCTTTCTTCTCCACATTAAATGCATGATATAAAACATAAATTTATATGGAAACAAATCACTGGGTTTATTTCACACTACGTTTCAACAAGTTCCTCTTGTCGTCTTGTTGAAACGTAGTGTGAAATAAACCCAGTGATTTGTTTCCATATAAATTTGTGTTTTATATCATATGTTCAATTACTAAATGCCGTATAAGGATTTCATTAAATGCACGGTGATAATAAACTTTTGAATCCGGTTCATTTTGTGGGGATGGGGAATTGGTTACACTCTTCCTGAACTATTTTATATGCCCACAGTTAAACACCTTAAAACCACAATTAAGAGTTACAACTTCTATATGTAAACGATTGTTTGGCAGAATTGTCTTAAGACTGGCGTCAAACAAACGGCATCATGTGCTAAACTTTAAAATGAAATGCAAAAAAATAGACATCTGATATTAATTAGATTGGGATATTGGCCATTATCTGGGGGTAGTGGAACTCCATAGATTGTGAATAGTTAAGATATCGTGACCATGACCTTTTACTTCGTAGTATGTTATTGGGTGACTATTACGCTGAAGTCCTGGATTGCACCGGACACCGTAAATAAAAGTAGGTATGTAAATCAATCTCAGAATGTGAAGATGTGGCCTATTTACCTGGAGAGATTGGGCATGATTGCTAGATTTGCTTATTGAGAGGGCGTAACATATTTTGAGAATTTCTGCCTGTCGGTAGCGCATTACAAACAACCTAACAAAGAACAGTGTCTAGTTATGTAGATGAGACAAAACATCAAGCCCCTGTGTACACATTGGCGTGCACATAAAATAAACCTTCACAGTTGAAATTTGATGAAGAAATGCCACGGTCCGTTGAGAATTTCCGTCATAACATATCCGTCATACCTAGCTCACCAGTTGTTCCTACGCTGGTTACACACGAAACAAGGGCGAAAGTTGTTTTTAGTCTTTCTCTGCCTTTCCCTGTTCTCCCCTTGTGCATGGCGATCTTTGTTGACTTTTCGGTGTAGAATCGAAAAAGGGGGTTCGGATACGCATTTTCTGTGTTTACGAGAGTTAAGAGGTTGGTTAGATTGAAATGTAGGACGGAAAATTGCATGTTTATTCGTCCCCATTTCCGGTTTGTGTATCTCTAGTTTTTAATGATGAACCTTATGCGTTCTTTTGAGTAAGAGGTTGCCACATGTTTCTCCATCTGTGGTAGAAAGCGTTCTACCCAACGAGAATTAACATTAAAGTTAATGGAATGGGGAAACATTAGTGATCCGTAGCCACAATGGAAGATTACCGTGGAAGACTGGAATAACCAGACACCAAAGACTGCCATTCAATTTGCACTCTTCGCGTAATTCGCCGAACATAACTGATTAGAAATTACAGTATAACATTACATTATTATATGCGCTGCTACCCATTTGTGTCCATTTCTAGGTGAATTACCCCTTTTTCAAGAAAAAAGCCAATACTTCATATTCTTTTGTACTAGTTTTGATTAAAACTAACTGGCGGGGTTTCGATTCCCCGGTTGTACGTGACAAGGAGTAGGGTCGACTGTCCAACCTCGTGGGTTTTCTCCGGGTCCTTCGGTTTCCTCCCACTGCTAAAGACCCCTACGCGCAAGCGAATGATTGAAATAAAGTTGAACCCCATTTCTCCTCTCCTCCTGATTAAAACTATGGTGCCTGATAGAGGCCATATAAAATCTCAACAGTATTAGGGCGAGTATACAAAAAATCAACTTGAGATATTATCGCTTGATTGTTGTCGTAATGTCCGTTGCTGACTATAGTCTCTTTCTGCAAGACACAGAAATACATAATTGTTCTATCACTACAAGAAGTTGAATAGATAAATATAAATATTGCTGGATCAGATGAGATATAGGAACATTCAAGAGCTAAATCTGACTATTGCAACTCTCGATGTCATCTCTAGCATGTGATTTTTACCGGATTTGAATGGATGATTTAACGTCAAAATGGATAATCGAGATTTTGTTCTTTTATTGTACCGACTTAAGCAATGACGATCGAGGCTAGGCCTAAAATTCAATGGCTAATATCTCGGTTCAGAGTAAAGCGATTCGACTGAATTATGTTTTTGGAGAATTTATTTTTGGATTACATTTATAGTTTGAGTTAATATAATAATACATAAGTTAACAGAGAGAGAGAGAGAGAAATGGGGTTTAACGTCCACTCGACACAAACTAGGTCATTTCGGGACTAACATATGGTTTAATTTTATTTCAATAATTCGCTTGCGCGTAGGGGTCTTTAGCAGTGGGAGGAAACCGGAGGACCCGGAGAAAACCCACGAGGTTGGACAGGCGACCCTACTCCTTGTCACGTACAACCGGGGATTCGAAACCACGCCAGTCGACTCAATGACAGACCATATGATACAGCGCGCGCACGCTAACCATTCAGCCATCCACCCCCCCCCCCCATAAGTTAACAAATATAACAAATAAACTATTGTTTTTATTGGTGACCGTAACTTTAAATGATCTGGTCGTAGGCCCTGGGTCGGGGTGTGTCGGCGTATCTGGATGTCTTCGTGAATTATATTCGTTCTTTTGCCATGCTGGTATATTCTGTACAATTGGTTAGATGGGTGGCGATAGCCGAGTCACTGTTGGAGGGTGTAGGTTTGTGTTTGTCCAACCATTTGTTTAGACTAGAGGGACTCATGTTTCCCCCACGTATGACTCTCCGCAGCTACAATGGATATGGTAAACACAGCCTTTGGGTTGATGGGTGTGGTTAGGACCAACTTTCCATTTGCTTTTAGGGTGTCCTTGGTGCTTGACACTTGGTGTAATTGTCTCCTTATTTGGTATGATAACGTGACTCAGCTGTCGCCATCCATCTCCTAATATATAATAACTAAAGCACTTTGTCAACTGTCTATACAACTCATTAATTAACGATATATATATTTCACCCATGATATGTCTCATTTGTACATTAGGTATTTGCTTGAAATCTTGTTGAAACGTTACCGTATAATAAACTAAGTGATTGTGTCCATATAAAATCATAAATCAACTGCTAAATGCCTCTGAAAGATTAATACTTAGAGGTAACTGGGGTTTCAGAAGATTTCGCATTTTTTGGTATTTTAATTTTGGAAAAGGAATCGTAGAAAGGGTAAATAGTTACCCCCACCCTACCCACCCTTCAAATGTTTTATTAGCGGGTTTATTTATCCGACCGTCTTCATTTTACATGTTGGTGCAGACAAGTAGGGCGTTAAACCCCATTTAATTTCATTCCACTTATCTATCGAAACCCAAGCAGGCCTATTTTATGTTTTCTTTAAAGATTAAAAGATAAAAGAAACCATGTTTTAATAAAGAGTCTTAGAGAGCAAATCTGTTGCAGTGCACAATGCTTGTTGTCCCCCCGCCTTAACAAGGATGGACCCATTGCCGTCTCGGATGTTTAAGCGACAATCACTACGCATACGCAATAGTCTTACTCTACGAGACTTTTTTTATAGCTTTTCGCGTAAATGCTTAGAATGAAATGATTGTATATATGAAATGAAATGTGGTTTAATGTCCCATTTTTCTGCACCAACCGGACTAATGTGTATATATCGTCGCGTTTCTGGTGAACGGACGAAGCAGACATAAGCACTTTCATTTGTCTACAACATTGAATCTAATTAATTGAGTGGGGGTGATGAAACATCGTGTAGGCTGTATTTTCATTGCATCGCTATTTTGACTAAGTTCGATAATAAACATTTTTTGTTCAGGTTTTGTAGAGTGATAAGCAATTTGATTGGTCGAGACCTGAAACTCGACAATCTTGATTCTAAAAGAGTGAGAGTGATGAAACATGGTTTCCGTATGTTCGATGGTGAACATTTTCTGCTTAGGCCGAAGATAGAAAATTTGATTGGTCTTAACTTTGGAACCCGATAACTCTTAAATCTTGATGTGGGTGTTGATTGTTCATATCTTGAACAAGTTCCACCATAAGACTACTGAGACTGAACAATTGGATTGATCGAGACTTTGGAACACAATACCCCTGGTACTTATCAGGTTCAAACTTGATGTAGATGTTCATTAGATGATTGTCTCGTCTAAGTTCAATGAAGACCATTTCATGTTCAGGCTAAGTAGATATAAGAAAGTTTATTTGTCGATCGTTTGGGACACCATATCTTTGATTTTAATTTGGCGAGAGTGAATGAACTTATTGTATAGTTTCATTGCATCAGTAGGCCTACCTGGAAAATAAGGTTGCAGATTGGTAGGTAATTTCATTTCTCGCTGCTTTATAAAAAGATTAGTATCCCATTAATTAATGAGTTTCATCTATTCATTTTTGGATTGAGGAGGGTGGGGGCGCCAGGCTTTAATAGCGATTTACTGACTCAAAAGTTATAGTCCTCGAAACATGGCAATATTTTGATTATTTTCAAATATCTAGGCATTGATCCCGTTAGTTATAACGATAAATATGTACGATAAAGTCAAATATAAGTGCGCTGGATCTTTCTCCGCTGTCAATCGTAAAAGAGCTCCGCTACAACACAAGCAGGTGCGTGCTAACACTAAACCGGTGATTTAAACGCCTTTAACCCGATTTTATGCTACATCGATTGCTAAAGTTTCTGATAAAAAAAACAATAAATAAAAATGTTTCAATATGCAGCTTTTACTTCCCGTGGGGCCGATTGTGAAATACTGGTCTGAAATATTCCTATTGATGCGTGTGCGGTAAGCTTACTAATTCGTGAACTAATACTGCTAACAAGTTATTGTTCTACTGTTGTATTTCTTTACTATACTATTCAAAAAAAGTAGGGGATATTTGATTTTTAAGTGTTATTAAAGTCACCTAATGAAACTGACGAAGAAACAAATGACAAAATGAAATGAAGTTCACATTCATCGATTTATTCCAAATGATCGTTAGACTAAGTAAGGCACAGACTGACCATTATAAGGGTAAAATGATACCCGGGGTCAAACAGCAAAGTTACCACAGCATCACAACCAAGTCAGTAACGGGTAAATCCTCCTCTGTTTGCCAAACAAGCATTGATCCGACGTGGCATACTCCTAATGAGACGTCTAAGGTCATTTTGGTCCAGATTGTCCCATTCCTGTTGCAACGCAGCAGCAAGTTCTTGGACATTGGCAGGACGTTGTTGACGTTGACGTAACCTCTGTCCAAGCATGTCCCAGACATGCTCGATGGCGGAGAGGTCGGGACTCAGTGCTGGCCAAGGTAATGTGGTGATGTTCTGTTGTTGGAGGTAACCTGTAACGATCCTGGCCCTGTGACATCTTGCGTTGTCATCCTGGAAGATGAAACGGCGGCCATGACGGCACAACATGGACTGCCAAGATGTTGTCCCGGTAGTACTGGCCTGTAACACGCCCTGCAACAACATGTAAAGCCGTTCTTCCAGCAACAGTGATGCCTCCCCACACCATAACAGAACCACCCCCAAATCGATCATGTCTGATGACGTTAACGTCTTGGAAGCGCTCGTTTCGACGACGCCACACCCTCCTACGTCTGTCCAAAAAATCAACAGTGAACCTTGACTCATCTGAAAACATCACATTGCTCCAGCGTCGATTATCCCAGTGTTGACGATCCCTACACAAACGACGTCTTGCCTGAATGTGATGATCTCTCAAACAAGGGATCACGCGAGGACGTCGGGCGCGAAGGTGACCCCTATGCAGTCGATTCCGAATCGTCTGGCCACTCACTCTCACACCAGTGTCTGTTTGAAGACGAGCGCTGATCTGATTTGCTGTGATGACACGATTTCTCAAGGCCAAGTTGTCGACCTGAGCGTGGTCTGTCCTGTACAGATTGTGTATCACGGTATCTGGACCATAGCCTGCTTATGACAGACTGAGAAACATTCATCGTCCGCGCCACAACCGCCTGTGTTGTGCCGATCTGTAGCATGCCAAGGGCATGTAACCTTTCATTTTGGGTAAGCCGACGCATATCAAAATTTGTTTTCTGGTCACTAAAACAATTAAACTGATGTTTCCACCCTGGAATTCAATGCCACAATGACTGTAACATTCAGAGTCAGAGTCGTGCAAATCTTGGGTTGGACCCCCATGATGATCCCAAGCATCACCTGCATTCCATGCGGTAGCTATTGGTGCGTTTGGGCGTCACATGTTACTGGAAATGTTTCTTCTGTTAGGTTCTATAGTGACTTTTTTCGTAGTCATTTGCATATTTTAGTATTATGCCCCCAAAATCAAATATCCCATACTTTTTTTGAATAGTATATTTAGAAAATATACAGGATAATTTACTTTCGTACGTAAAATACTTCATTATTTTAAGAAAAAAAATATGCTAAATTAATCAATATCTCTTTTGTACCAGTATTATTTATGTTTGCATAATGTTAGCAACATTTTGTAGTATGTTTGTGTCTGGAAGAAAAGAGAGAGAGAGAGAGAGAGAGAGAGCGAGAGCGAGAGAGCGAGAGATGGGGTTTAACGTCACAAACTAGGTCATTTCGGGACTAACATATGGTTTTTAATTTTATTTCAATAATTCGCATGCGCGTAGGGGTCTTTAGCAGTGGGAGGAAACTGGAAGAAAAGAATACTGCGATATAAGTCGATAACAGATATTACAACAACCACGTTTATTTTACGTGTATTTGTCCTAATACTGCGGCGATGTCGTGTTGCGTTATGAAAAGAACGAGACTCACATGGTATCATTTACTGTATATATATTTGCTTATAGGAAATATCAACAATAAAGGTAATCACGGGTTGAAATAGTGGTCATATTTCAATAGTAAGTAAATATAATGTTTGATGATGACAACCCCGAGAACTGTTTTCCATGACCCATTTTCCCTAATCCTCATATTTGATATTGATAATTTAGTGTAAAGAATGGTTTTATTCCTGAATACATTTCAGAGACCGTTGCGCTTTCGACGTACTATACATATCACTGTTAAACGCTTTTGAAATATAATTTTGAATAATTATTTTCCGACATCCACCCATTCCCTCATAAATAAATATATTAGTACCCTAGGAAGGAATGGCTTTTATCACCACTATGCCATGAAACTCTCCAAAGCACGGAAAGTTTATACCCACAAGTAATTGAACATGTTAAAAGATATTCAATGCTGCATCGGTACCTTGGAGAGAATTCCCTCATAATTAAATTTTGTCTGTAGCATCTCAGGGGCCGAAGGTTGTTGATGGGTAGAGATAGTAACATGCATTGTACTTTTATTTATAGTGATCGCACAATTTATTGTTTTGTTTTGTTTTGTTTTTTTTTGTTTTTTTTTTATAAACAATATTTTAATTCAGGATGTCTTTATTGTTTTATTTAGATGTGCCATACCGGGATTAGATAATGACACCTTTGCTGTTCAATCCGAATACCATCAGAAACTGATTAACGAGACTATACCCTATGAAGAATTAGATGATGAATACAAGGTCGCTAGATGTGAACTTTACAGACCTGGTACTTACCAATATGACAGTAATAACCAACCAATCAATGCAACCATGACAGCATGTGCTAGATATGTGTATGATCAATCTGTCTTCACAGCAACTGCTACTACCAAGGTACAGTATTGCATTATTTTGAATGATGGACTAATATAATTCCATTATCCGCCATTCGAATTTCCAATTAGTCACCGGGTTGACCTGTTTTATTATTATCCACAAGGTGCGTATATGGTAATCATCCATGGTGGGACTATATATCAAACAGTTTGGCATTATTGGAGTTTGTTTGATTTTGTTGTTGTTGTTTTTGTTGGGGTGTCTTGTTTGTTTTGTTTTTAGGGGTGTTTTTTTTTTTGGGGGGGGGGGGCATATTTCAGAAATGAAATGAAATGTGGTTTAACGTCCTACTGTTCTGCTCCTTATGAACTCATGGAGACGGGCATGCCCTACGGCATACTCTTATTTCGAATTCCAACTGTCAAGGATTCTTTTATGTGTACGCCAATATCTACACGGTTTTTCGTCCCACCCAAACGACTATACGTTGACCCTTATCAGACTCTCCGTCCTATATCACTGACAAGAGGTGACCACGCCGGGAAATTCGATGAACTTTCTCGGCCAACGCAGGGATGGAACCCGGGACCACCGGATTAGTAAGCCAACGTCCTACCACTCACTGAGCCACACTTCGAATAACTAGAGAAAAGTATGTGTCGGTGTTGTCTATTCTCACACTAAGGTTGGTAACCAAATTGGACTATATATGCCCAATTGCTATTACATTTACGCATACTACTACTCTCAAGACGTCGCCCAACAATGTTACGTAAAGGGAGTTGTTTATAGTTGGAAAAATGATATAATCTATAATATGTATCTTGTCTATATTTAAGGTTAGAGTATTTGATTGTTTATAACATATTTATCATTAACGAAATTTAATTTCAGTATAACATGGTCTGTGGAGATGCTATCCTTCGATCGCACGCTCAAATGGTGTTCATGGGTGGTTTCTTAGTTGGAGTTTTCTCCCTTGGCGCAGTTTCGGATAAGTAAGTTTTATACGCAAATAAGTAAATCAATATATATTCATATTTTAATTCACTTGTATATTTTACAATGTAAATGTCATGGAAAGCCAAATGCCATTAATTATAGGCTTGATGTTTTGATGAAATAATAAATATATTTTTAATCTAACAACGAATTAAACATTGTTGGCAGATTATGCATGGCAGTTCACAAAAAGGTAATCGGCTAATAAGATACCAAAGAATTGTTTATTGCTATTGTAAACGCCAATAATGGATTAATTAGGTTTCAGGACAAGAACGATCCTTTAAGAAATATCTTCCATATATTTGATAATGGTATGATCTAAATGTGGATCTTTTATTTTCAGATTTGGAAGAAAAACGTCTTTGTTCGTTGCGTTGTTCTTAAATATTGTTGGAGGTTTCAGTCTTATATTTGCCCCTGAATTTTACAGTTATGTTTTTCTAAGATTTATAAATGGGGGTTCTAGTGCCGGTATATTTACAGCTACTTACATCATAGGTAAGTCTAAAATCATTCAATTTAGATTTAAATGATTGTTTAAATCTTAGAATGTATCGAGGATTACAAACTTTGAATTGAATAATGAATTTTTATTTATAATGTATTTTTAATCCTGAATTGTATAATGTATTTTAAACTCTGAATTGTATAATGAATTCTAATCCTAGAATGCTGGGTTTTAAATGCTAAATAATAAAAAAAAACGTGGGTCTGGCGACTTAACGGTCATAATCTATCTATCAAAAAATCTTTAATTATGTGCATATCAGATCATGTACATTTTTATTTGATGCAAAGTTTAAATATATATAGTATGAAATTGTGCAACAAACAGTTTAAGATTATTTGATGAAGTACCTAGTTGTAGTTGAGTTGTCTGGGGGCCAGTTGTGACTAAGTCTATCATTAATTACATTATAATTTATTTCAGGTGTGGAAATGACAGGACCATCAAAGAGATTATGGACAGGTGTTATTATTAAATATCACTTTGCAATTGGTATAGTTGTTTTGGCGTTAATGGGTTACCTTATACGTAATTGGATTATACTAGAGATTGTCGCCACAGCACCGTTACTATGTTATTTATCGTATTATTGGTAAGATTACACTCTAAATATTTCAATATTTTGTTGGATACTTTGCGAACTTTGGCACTCATCGCCATCTGTACATGGTTCTAAACCTCTTCATTACGGTTTATGGCCAATATTTCATTTATTATTTTTTTTAGGATTGTTCCAGAATCTCCAAGATGGTTAATTAGTAAAGAACGACCCGAAAAAGCCATGAAAATCATTGAAAAGATCGCAAAAGTCAATAAAACCAAAGTACCTCAAACAACTCTAGAAGCTGATGATGATAAAGAAAAAACAAGTCAGCTAAAAAGTTTTATTGCTCTTTTTACTCATCGAGTTTTGTTCTTTAGAACAATTATTATTTTCTTCAATTGGTGAGTTAAATTTTGTGATTTTTAGAGGGAGATTTAACTTATTTCGCATGCTTTAGGGCAATGTTAATTTTTTTATTTCTTCCAGTATCGAGACCTAACATTTCTGATTTATTACGAAGCTTTCAATCTCTAAAAAATGCCCATTATTGGCATTTGGCCATTTTGACAATTCGGCAAAACTAACCCACTCAATATGTAGAGTTCTATAGTTCCCAACACCGTCGTTTTGCCAGAGACCAATGAAGTATATATTCCCGATATCCAACTCCAATAACCGTCTGTTGCTAGTATTAAACACTTCATAAAAAAAACATTTTATGTTTTTTTGCATTAGTATTTCTTATTTCAGGATGGTTGTTGCCATGACCTATTATGGATTATCTATGAACACCGACAATTTAGGAGCTGGGAGTCTTTTCTTGAACTTCTTTATAGCTGGACTGATGGACTTTCCCGCTGTTACTGTCTGCCTGATTCTATTGGACAGAATTGGACGAAAGAAACTTCACTGTGGTTTTATGATACTTGGGGGCGTATCTTGTGTTTGCACCATCTTTACAATATTATATCTAAGTAAAGGTGTGTACCATTATATCTACGTAAAGCTAAGCCAATCTTAGTAAAATTTTGTACTATACAGACGTAAAACAAACTATCATAATTATCTTAGTAAAGGTCCGTATTATATATTTTATCTAAGTAAAAGTTTGAGCAGTAAAGTTTTTTCCCTATGTGCAATATCATAGTAAAAACATTTACATTATATTCCTTAAGTAAGGTATTTACGGGTTTATAAATTTTATTGTATTTTTGCATTACTGTATCTCAGTGGTCTCATTCCGTTCCACTCCACTAACCCCTGGATTCAACCATGGGGCAGCCACGCACTCAAATTATCTGCCCTTGATGATTGTGCAATTTTTATTGATCAGTCAAAAATATCATTAAATACAGATAACAGAATACGCTTGATAGCATAACGACTTGCCACTGCCTGTTTTGACTGACATAACAACATTTTCCCATCAAAAAGATGGTTTAGGAAATATTTTTGTGTGCATTTTACTTCTGTTATATTAAATTTCTTGTTTTAGTATACGTATATGTTTGTACTTACAACCTCTTATTGCATGGAGTATGCCCGTCATCATTTGCCCGAATGTAGCGGAAAAGAGTAACGTTAAATCCCATTTCATTTCATGTCTACGACACATTGGTACTTTATATACCACATGCTGTTATTTTGTATATCACATATTGTTATTTTGTAGAGTTACAATGGATAACAGTAATGTTAGCCATGATAGGTAAAATGGGATCAGCAGCAGGTTTTGCTGTAGTTTATGTTTATTCCGCTGAGCTATACCCAACTGTAGTGCGAACAGCAGCATTTGGTGCCAGTTCAGCTTGTGCTAGATTTGGTAGTATGCTGGCTCCGTACATAGCTGATGGTGTGAGTATTTTTTCTATGAACAGATAATGTTGAAAATTCCGTGTGATTATCCCTTTTCAAAGATAAAATACAGATGCACTTGAAATTTAGCCATAGTTATTTTTCTGAAATGGTTGTTCTCCATGAAAAAGCCCCTATTCATAGTTTGAAATATACAACTGATACATATTATGGAATACTATCAATTTTTGTTTATTACTCAGCGACGTTTCTACGAGGTTTCTATAGACAATTTATAGTGATGATTTGTGTAAATTTTCCTACAGGGTAAAACTATTGGCGGTGATTTTGGGCGTGCCATGCCGTTAATGGTATTCGGTGGACTATCTACTGCTGCTGGTTTACTATGCCTTCTATTACCAGAAACCCTAAATAAAGACCTTCCTGAAACTATCGTAGATGGCGAACATTTTGCCGAGTAAGTTATTGAGCATTTCCCTTGTTTCTTTAAAAAAAAAACACCCGTTCTTTTAATTTGCAGCTTTATGAATTTAATACTTCAAGGGTTACTTTGATTGGCACTCAGTACATATTTTGTAATTGAATCAGAAAATAAGTGTCCAAGTACCTGTATAAAGTAATAGCACTGCATGCTGACGAGTGTTGTAAAAACGTTATTATTTTGTGTTTAGTTTGTACAATGCCAGCAAAGATTAACATTGCAAAGTATTTCAACCAATCAATTGTAGAAATTAAGGTCAATCTGTATTTTTACCCGTTGTTGTCTATTGCCAAATCTAACAGGATATTGCCAAATCTATAGTCTACATGACTTTATTCCCAATATTCTTAGAGAGCCATGTTGATTAGGTCCGTATTGTATATTGCAGAATAAAAATGTAATGTACTATTTTCAGTGATTCGAGTGATTTAGAGGAAGGGGAAGAAAAGGAACAGTCCGAGAAACAGCAGGAAGACAAAGGAATAGTTAATGCCATTGCTAATGGTACGGATGGTTTAGCTAAAGACATTTATCCACAGTTTACTAGAATGTAGACTAATTGTTTTTAGTATAAGGAATGATTGATTGTAATTAAATTAGTTACTGTGAATGTTATATTTTTTTTGTAATTTTAGATTTTTTATTTTACTTTTTTTCACCTTTCTGTTTACAACACATTGATATTATGCCATATTACAATTACATGAACACAATAAACCACCGACTCGAGAATTCCAAGATCTGCATATTAAGGGAACCAGTGAAAAATTCAACCGTGACATAATAATTATTTAAGGGGGTGCTCGATTGTCATCCTGGAATTCAATCGTGTGGCACGGAATAGATTCATTTCTCCAAAACAAGTGTCTTACGAGAGAAACAGTGACTAGTATTTGGTGCGCACGATATCGTCGGAATGCTCGTATGTACCAGATTGTCACTGTTTTGGGTGCCCACGCGAATACATTTCAGAGGGTTCAATCAGTATCCCCCAAGACAAATTACTGTTGTTGTTTTTTTAAGTTTGATTGAAATGTTAGAACTAACGTCTATTTTGTATTTTAGGCCGGGGTTTCACCCATATATTGTAAATCCTACGACGTCGTATTTACTCTTGTAGCATAAGTAAAATCCCTTGTCCATGTACATATTGGCGGCACATTAACCGTTGGAATTTGTAACAAGTTCTCATCCATGCAGTCTCAAGATTATTTAAAGATACATTATGTAAGATTTTGATAAAGAGCTAGCCATTCTTGCTATAATAGTTCGAAAATAGATAATGCAAAATGAATGTATTGAAAATTTCATTCAAATTACTCCATAGCGAGCGAAGATTTAGCCTTTGAAGTTTTGACAAGACGCGTACATTAAGTGTACCCACAATACAGGCTATTCGAAGCTAAATCTCGCTTCTCCATTTTTAAATTAAATCAACCGTTCTAATCTACTTAATATCGGAGATATCCCATTGCATCGAGAGTTGATTATTGTCTTCTCATGTTAATAAATGTCTAATTAATAATTAATATAACATTTCAGTCCGAAAGAAAGACCTGCAATAGGCAGATTTAGCTCTTGCATAGTGTATGTTTAATGTAGACATTTTGTTATCGACAGAATTGTAACTGGTGATACTCATAAATAAAAAGGTTGTTGGTATTTCTACATTTAATTTTTGAATTCTGTGAGGTACCCATTATAACAAATCTCAATATTTCTTCAAATTGATAGGCGAAACGACCTTTGTTTGGACAAGAGCGCGAAAGATAAGTGAGAATTTGGACGAGGTGTAATCGTTGCGTCGCCACTGCCTATACCTTGAACCGGGAACCAGAGTGGCTAAGTGAGTAAGACGCTGGCTCGCTAGTCTGGAGGTCGTGGGTTCGCTCCCGATGTTGGCCGAGAAAATTCATCGAGATGTTTCGGCGTGGTTTCCCCTTGTCAGTGGTGCAGGACGGAGGGCCTGGACAATGACAGCTGTCTAGTCGTTCGGATGGGACGAAAAACCGAGGTCCTGTGTACACATTGGCGTGCATTTAAAAGATCCCTTGGAATTTGATATAAAAGTAGGCCGTAGCGCCGCTGTCCGGGCAAAATTTCCCCCATATCACACCGATGGTGTATGCCCGTCTTCATTAGCCAAGTAGGAACAGAACAGTATGACGTTAAACCCATTTCATTTCATCTATACGTTGAACCTGTCCACCCATTCCGAAGCAATAGCACGTCTCGATACAATTACAAACACAGAAAATGTTCATTATCATGGAGTCTTGCTATCTTCCTCCACGCATCCGAAGGATTGTATTCTAGACACCATACTGGCCATAGTGATACATTAATAATATTTCACGGTGGTTTCATGAGAAATATTAAGTTTATTTACAGAGTATGTGAAGAGTGACGGGGCCTCATAATTGTGAAGTGAAGCTATTACTAATTCATAGCATACCTTTTTGTCTTATCGTGGCGGGGTCTCATTTAACGTGAAGTAAAGCTATATTAATAATTTCAAAGCATACCTTTGCCCTGACACATTTGTAATATTACGTGTATTATAGTTTATCAACAAGGCGTCCAACTTGTCATAATTAACTGTTGAAAATGATGGCGAATGGTTTTTTTCTACATAGCAGGGTCCATCGCCTTATTAAAATTCACCAAAGCTTCGCAGACAATTCTATACTAAAATTTCAGCTGTAGTCATTTAAAGCGGAAATTTCAAATTTTTAAGTTATATTTTTAAAATTTATTAAAATAAAGCCTTAAAATAGATGGTATCCATAAACAGTCCTACCTTGTTAAAGAATAATCCTATTAATCCTATAATTCACTATTGCCAGCTGAGAAATTTGCCAAAATATCATTTTCAACTTCAAATTCCAACGTTGAGGAAATGGCTGACCATTGTTTTCAATAGGTAAACAAGGGAGGTAATTGTGTTTTTATTTCCTGTGTAAATGAGATTTAAGTGTGAGAATGACACCTATGATCGTATAAAGTGAGTTGATAACCTACTGAGCAAAAGACATAGAAATAATTATGTTTTGACTTTCTTAGAAAATATGAAATTCTCGCTTTAAGCGGGGCAGAATATAATACTTATTTCTTTCAGAACAGCTCATGCTATTCACAGATAAGGTATTGACATATTCCTGAAGCAATGACCCGAGAAATCCCTCTCTACAGCCATTGCTGAATTAAAACGGAAAACTTGAGTCTTTGACGAAGCGTCTCCATTTTCATCGTTCAATCAAATCTCTCCTTAGTAAAATAAAGGGAATTTTCATGACTGAACGGGGGTGACCTCTTTATAAAAAAATTCCCATTGTTTGTAAGTGCTGATTTCACAAACAATTTTACCCTTGGGTGCATTGATACTGAAATCGGTAAATTTGGCCGTCGCTGAAACTCGCTATTGTTAATTATCATTACAGCGGTAACAATGACAATCGAGGCTACAGTGATTTTAAAATAGGGGTTTCTCGGCTTAGAGTGAAACAATTTGACTGCAATTTTTAGCATATTCCCTTTACATTATTTAGTTTTTAACTATTAAAGTTAATATTATATATAGTCTCGATTAAACAATTTTTGATTTAATCATCATTGAGCGTTGATCAGCAGATAAGATTCCAATCCAAAAAATATCGCAGGCTAGCGATGACACCGAGAGTAGATTATGGTCTGGATAAGTTAATTAATGTCTAATTAATAATTATGGTAAAACTTCAGGCTTAAAGAAAGACCTGGAATAGGCAGATTTAGCTCTTGCATAATGTATGTTTAACCATTACGAACAAAAGGAGTTCAGGTAGTTCACGAGTTTGCGTCACACGATAGTGTCACAGACGTCGATTTTGGAGCCGTTGTTCCGAAAACTTTTAATTTTCATTTTTTACTTATTTAGAACTCGGAGCAGAGTTATCGTTTCTTTATTGTGTTTAATTATGCCCCTTAGAGATTACGTCATTTTTTCTTCTGCAGTGCGCCATTTTTGCAGAGTGTTAAGAGTTCCTGAAACGTTTATAATAGAGCTTGAGATAAATCTTCGGGTATTTAATTTATCATATTTATGTCCATTTACTTTTAGTAGAAAATGCAAAGTATGCGACATGATGTACATGTAAATATTCATGTTGAAGTCATCATAATAATAGCGATTGTGTATCAAGTGTTATATTCAGTCTTTTAATCTTCGAGAGTTCGATGTAGCTTAAGCGGGTCTTATTTTAGACGGATAACGTAACCTTTGTATGTGGTTAAATTCCTAATATATCCATATGTGAATTAAAATACTGCCGGTAATAACTGGCGATGATATTCTAATACTAGGACCATGATTGTTACAAATGAGTAAAACAGACTGATTTAAAGATGGGCTGGGTTTTACTTTAGCCCGTGTAAAAATCACAACGTCAAAATAACAATGCTGTTGACATCGATCAAAAGCGTGTGGCAAGTACATCAATATACTAAACGGGATATATTATTGGTATGATCACTTGCGTGTATGAATATTTATCAAACGTGCCATTTAGTTAGACTTATATTCCGTACCTAGGGACGATATTGGCGCATAAGGGCATGAGGCCTTCTCTTACTTCGAATTCAACAGGAACTGTCAACAGGAACCAATGCTTTAAAGGTCCTTACCATTTGTCCGTGTTCTGGCGACCTGTTCTGCCAAACTCATTAGTGGATTTAAACAAATAAGGTAGGCATGTAGAGGGTGGTGTGTATTGGACATGTTCAAATGATATTAATCGTCCACCTTGGCTCGGACGGAGTATCGTAAATGTGTAAATTCCGACACTCTGATATTTTTTAACCTTGAGAAATGAATACAATTGAGTATCACCATTATTATGTTTCTTTTATTAGGTCTATTAGAGAGATTAAAAGATGGCGGCAATATTATTTGTGGGAACTGGAAAGACGGGGTTACCACATCCGGTAACTTTACATCAGAGATAATACTCGATCAGCCAGGAATTTGTTCACGCAGGAAGTGACGTGGTGGAAGCTTTTACGGCGTTCTAGCCTACATGTAGAACATGAATCTTACATTGACATCGTTTTGTTAAAGTGTATTAATCCAAACTCAAACAACATAAAATAAGTATCGACTTTAAAGTTGGGATAAGTCATTGTGAAAATTATTTTTTTCAAAAAAAAAAATAAATAAATAAATATAAACATTGTATTTCCTTTACACGCCTTACTTAGGTCGCTCGTGTTGTTTCAATATATTACGCAATGTCTTAAGCTCGAGACCATTAAACAACTTAAAATACAGACACTCGCACGTACTTTGAAATGAAATACGCCACGCGGCTCCAAAATTTCAACAAGCATAAATAATATACGCTTGGCACATTGCCCGTACCATTATTTGAAATAATGGTACGCCAACATCAAAGGATGGCGTCACATCTGTATTTTAAAACGAAATAACTATTTTCAATATCGATCAATATTAATTGCCCGAAAAATGAACCTACATATCCTTACCAGATAGCGTCGTCAAATCTCGAAAATAACTAGTACT